GTTTAATCTTAAAAGTGCATGCCTATATTTTTCAAGACCAATTACTTGTTCAGGTTTTGTGCTTTTGTACAGTCAGTAGGATCAGTTGCAATGCATACAGTATATGTGAATGATGAAAGTACATTGCACATTTTTCTCAGGAAATCTTAGGTGCTTCTTGAAATATTTTGTAAAAGACCTCACGTGGTGATCAGGCGAACCGAGCTGGTAAGAAGTCTCATTTCAACAAGCCTCATTTCATTATTCGGAGTTGAAGGAAGATTGTTCTTGGGTCCTCCGCGCCACAACCCTGCTCACCGCCAGAGTCCACCTACGAGCACAGACCTGCAGGCAACACTTTTTGCTCTTCTTCCTGTTATTCGCAAGGTGCTGAAGTCAAACTTTGGGCCAGCCTGAAAAGTAGGAGACATTTACACTTGTTCAATGCACCATCATGACTACTTTTTTGACTTTTTTTTTCTCCCCCAGGCAGCAGTAAACATGATCGGCTTCCTGCTCTCGAAAGACCCAACACAGAGTCTATCTCCCTGGTAAGTTTCATGCCCAACACATCTTTGCCTGCACAAGAAATTGACTTGCGTGTAACTCACGGATGCCTTTCCTCTCAGGTCAACACACCTGTCCCACGTTCTTCTCAAGAGCTGCCCACTTCGCCGCCCAGCAACAAGCAGACAGCCATCCAACTTGCAACTTTTTCCTCTGCTTTTGTGATTGTCTACTCTGCAAAAGAAATAAACCTTGATTACAAAGAACACTTCAACTCAACTTCATTTTTAAACACATCACCACAATCTAACTTAAAAAAAAAAAAATTAAAATTATTTTCAGGTTTTTTCTAAACTTTTTTCTGAATATTTTTCTCAATTTTTTTTCCTGGATTTTTTTTTTCCAGGCAGAAAAATCCAGAAAAGTGGGTGTGGCCTGGCTGGAATGATGGCTTTTGATTCGCTGATAGCTGTGGAAGTGGGTGGAGCATGACGATAACATGCTGTGATTGGTGGAAAGGGGGGAGTGGTTATGCAAATTAAGCGTTCTCTGATTGTGGGCTCTTGGGGCATGGTTATGCGAATTAGGGTTTGGGTTATGCAAATGAAGGGGCTCACCGCGATTGGTTGATGTCAAATTGGGTGTGGTTCGGGGTGGGCATTGCAGCACTTTTTCAAAGTCCCACTTGAGTCTTGAGCTCAGACTTGCACTTGGGTCACATCAGACAGTCTTTTCACTGTTCCCGTCCGTTTCACATGACCCAAAAGCTCGATTCCTGGAGTTTCGAGTCATGTGGAGACCAACGGGAAGTGAAAAGACCGTCTGATGTGACTGAAGCGCAAGTCTGAGCTCAAGACTTCAGTCTTTGAAAAGGCTTCGAGTGAGTTGAGGATGGATTTAGTCATGATAGGCAAAGACTCGAATTCAAGTTGAACAATTTATTGGACAGAAAAGAGAACATGACACATACCTGTCAACTCATACGGTTTCGCCATAGTTCATACGGATTTTGTGGTGAATCTTACGTAT